CAGTCCCAGAAATGAGCAGAGAAAAGTTTGTATTGTCACAGAAGATGCAGGTTTGGGAGAGAAGCTTCTGGCTTGGAAGGGTGCTGTCAGAGAGCCGTTTCGTGGTTGAAGCCAATGTTTCTCACGTTACCACTGTGTTTTGTGACTTAAGAGTCAATTCAAGAAATCTGTGTTGAGAGTCTGAAATGGGCCTGGCTCTCTACTGAGCAATGCCACTGCAGAGGGTGCTGAGAACAATTTCAGTCATGGGGGAAAGAAAAAAAAAATCTGGCTTTTTATTATTACTTGTTTTTTAAAACAAGGGTCGAGTGGCTCAAAAACCTTGAACTTGGGTTTGCACTGACATGTAGTGGAGTCAGGCCTGGGCCTGCTTCTGGACAGAGACTCAGGGTGTTGGCAGGGGCGTGTATGTGACATTTCTACACAAAATGTCTCTTTTCAGGGAGGTGGTTTGAGTTGTAGGTTGATCTAGGCAAAGGAGGGGGCTAGATTAAGTTGGGTTAAATGCAGAGTTAATTTAAGACCCCAGAAATAATAAAAGCTTGCCAGGATCTGATTTTGTTTTTAAATTTTTTTGTGTTAAACATTGGAGCAGCATGTACATGCAGGTACGTTGTATCAGATTTTTAAGTTTCTGTGTGGACAGATGAGCCCACTTAACATCTGCACAGCACTTCAAGGTCACTGGGTGGCTGTCTGTCCTGTGGCACTCCCCACAGTTGAGATGGCAGCAGTATCAGTTTTGTTTAGCAGGTAAGAAACCTAGGCTTGGAGAAACTGAGTTGCCAGGCTCAGGGTCTCCTCGTCAACAGCAGCAGCCCTGAAGCAGAGCCTGGCTCTCCTGGGACCCACTGTGTTCCCCAGTCCACAGCGCCAGAGGAACTCGCTGGGGTGTGTGCTCCACAAAACACCAGCAAGGGAGTTACGTGGAAAAACAGCATCACTGACTGAGGTGTCTTTGTTTCTGTGGCCTTGGAACAGATCCTCCCCCCCACCCCCGACTGTAAAGGAGAGGTTTTCCAGGCCCAGAGAAGCTGCCTTGAGCGTGTGTTTGGTTTGCTTTTATAGTTCAGAGAAACAATAAAATGGATGAAATTACCACCATGGCTCGTGAGAGGCTAAAGGAGAACTTGCTGGAGAAAGCCGTGATTTTCTACTGAAGTTCCCCTGGCCCCCCCGTCACCGTGTGGCCGAACCTGACCACCACCAGGGCTGAAGGCAGGAACTCTCTCCCAGAGCACCTGGCCCCCTGGACCTCTGCTGCCCTCCTAAAGCACTGCTTCTCGGAGGCTTAGGGGCCCCTGATCTCGGATGTGGTCTAGAACATTCTCTAACCCCCTTCTGCCATTTTCTTGCACTGCTGCCCTTGAGGTATCAGTGTAGGAAGCAGAAGACAAAGGTCAAACTTCACTGTGACCTGCTCACCAAGTCAGTCTGTAGATACAGCAGATCCTCATTCGAAGGAGTCCAACATGTGTGCTCACCTGTGTATCTTCCCATGTGTGCTACTCATGGAGTGTGAGTACCTGTGTGTGTTAAGAGGCAGGGCCAACAGTGATGAATGCAGCACTCATTCTCACCTATGGAAAGGGAGACTGACCAAAACACGCCCCAGGATGAGACCTGCTGCAAGCAGACAGGTGTAGGGCCCACGTGGTGGTTGTCTTTGGAAGGGAAGTGTGCATGTACACACAGGATGCATGTTTTCCCGTCTCTAGATGAACTAAATTAAACCCACTGGAAACTGCACTAGGTAAAGAGAGAAAATTTCTTTAGCTCAGCGTGTCTTACCCAGTAGTGATTTGTTAGTTCCTAGTGGCAGCTCCTGACATCAAAAGGGCCTTGGTTTTACTTTGACAGTTATGTCAATCAACCACCAGTAGGTAAATTGCTTTATCTACTGAGCTACTAGAGTCAAGAGATTTCAGTTCTGTCCCAACTCTGCTACAGCTGCTATAGGATCTTAGGCAAGTCTCTTCACTTGTGTCATTATTCTTAAAGTGGAAACTGAATTTATTTTCATTAACTGGTGAGAAGATTATATGGAAGAAAAGTGCTTGGGGATTTTTTTAAATAAATGCGATGCCATGGAAGATGTGCAGATGAATGACTCATTGGGCAAATGCTCCGGGTACAGAAATGTGTTTAGGGCCATTGGACCAGCAGTCTTGTGGCCTTGGTTCGGGTGACCGATGCCCGATTTGCCCGAGTTAGCCCTGACACATGCCTGAAATCCTGGGATAGTAATTAAGATGGCAAGACTGCCCCATTATATTCTGAAAACTCTTGTTCTGGAAGATTGCTCATGGGAAGTCCTTTCCTGTACAGGACATGGACCTTGGCTGAAGTAGCAGTGACCTCTGCCTTCCTGATGCAGTGTCATCTACTGGTGGTGGTCAGAGGGGGACTGGGCCCAGCCTGGAGGATTCAAGCTTGGTCCTTGTAGCTCAAGTCAGAAGCGAGTGGCTGCTGTCAAGGGCAGGAACCCTTTCTCATATGTGAAAGGGAGGATTCTGTGGTTGACCTGGAATGTCTCCAAATGGGCCAGTTTATGGGGTGGTTCCCAGAAAGCTGGATCTGTCTGCGGCAGGGCAGGTTCTCTGTGGGGCCCCACCTCTCTTCTCCCATCTCTCACCTTGGCTGTGCAGTCCTGGGCATGTGCCGCAGCATGCAGGTGACACGACAGGACTGCTGCAGCCAGCACTAACGGGTGGAGTGCAAGGTGCCTTCTCCATCCCCACTTCCTGCTCCCATGGCCCTGGCCAAGCAAGGGTGAGAGGAAGGGACTGGATTCTGCCTGGTGTTTGAGGCCCCTGATGTTCATCCAGTGTGAACAGGGTGGTTTGTATTCCTTGAGAGACTTGCTGCTTCCTGTGGTAGCCTGGGACACATTCTCCTGTCTGAAATGGGAGAGTGTCTTGGCCTTTTATCTGTGGCCGCCTGCCAAGTTGGGGTCCTGTTTGGAAACAAGGGCTGGCATTTTGGGAGCTGGGGTTCCATCGACGTGGCCTGCCAGTACCTGGAGTTGGAAGGGGCATGAGGCAATCACAGAGCCTACCTTACAGCTTTGGCTTCACCGTCTACCCACTGTGTGGCCTTGGGCAACTCTGCTTGATCCCCAAACCTGTTTTTCCATCTTACACTGGGGTTTATTCTTATCTTGGTGATCTCATCCTGCTTCATGTATCCCTTGTCTCAGAGCTCACTCAGGAAGCTCAAGAGCTTGGTAAGTTGTGACGTCCCTTCACAGTGCAGCCCGAGGGCCTGCCACGTAACAGTGAGCAGTGATCACCAGGAACACGACAGTGAGCAGCCTGGACCTCGTGGAGCTGATGTTCTATGGGAAAAAATTAATGCTGAACCAAAAAAAATAAATGGGCATATAAAATAGTTGGATGTTAAATGACAGGAAGCAGACACAGCAGGGTTCTGAGATAAAGAAGGAATGTGCCTGGGTGTGGTGCTCCTTCTTGGATAGGGTGATCAGAGGAGACTCATATATGAGAGTGACCTGTGCACCGAGACCAAGTGTGAAGAGACAAATGTCCAGGGGTACAGGGCCACATTCCAGGAGGGAGACCGCAGTGAGTCCTGTTAATGTCTCAGGCTTACAGGTCTTCCTTACAAGGTTCATTGGAGGGGGCCAGCGCCGTGGTGCAGTATGTTAATCCTCCGCCTGCATCACCGGCATCCCATATGGGCACCAGTTCTAGTCCCGCCTGCCCCTCTTCCAGTCCAGCTCTCTGCTATGGCTTAGGAAAGCAGTGGAAGATGGCTCAAGTGCTTGGGTCCCTGCACCTGTGTGGGAGACTGGGAGAAGGCGCCTGGCTCCTGGCTCTGGATCGGTGCAGCTCTGGGTGTTGAGACCATCTGGGGAGTGAACCAACAGAAGGAAGACCTTTCTCTCTGGATCTCCCTCTCACTGTCTGTAACTCTACCTCTCAAATAAATAAATAAAATCTTAAAAAAAAAAAGTTCATTAAAGGTGGTCTGATCTTAGCCCATTGGCTTAGGATTAATTCCAACTCCAAGACTGATAATGAAGTGAAAGAAGCAAGATGAAGGGCAAGGTGCATACTTTGCTACCATGTGTGCAAGAGAGACAGGATGTGTGTGTGTATGTTGTGTGTGGTTTGCAGGCATCTCAAGAGGGACATAGCAAAAGCCGATGCTTGTGCCCAAGCAGGGAGTCTTGGTGCCTGGGGTGAAAGAGAGACTCACTTTTAACTGTCTGTTTTTACGATTTGGATTTATTTTTCCGTGTGCATATATTATTTTACAATGAAAAAATTTAGTCATTTAAAACATGTATACTTATTTAAAGTAAATGTCTGTAGGCAATTTGGTAACAAAAATGAGACAGGGGTATGTGGAATCTTCCAGGTGCCAGGAAAACAAGCCAGGTCTGGAAGCGAGGATGGGCCTGGGCCAGCTGCAGACGGAAGTGCCTGGGAAGGGGGGTGCCAGGACCCCAGGCAGGGCCACACAGGCACAGATGCATTTCAGTGGCCCTTCTCCTCTCAGCATGTGAAGTGGGTGCCCGCTTCCCCTCTCCAATGTTCTTCCCTAAACTGACAAAATATGTTTGTTTAGGGGTGAAAATCTCAGCCCACATGCTCACATCTGTGCTGATTTTTATTTTAATGATTTGTATATGCATTCAGTTCTTTCACAGGTTTATATACCCGTAGAGTCCTTAGCACAGAGACTCATGCCTCATGCAGCATTTATGCTTTGATAAGTGTGGAATAGAAGCAAAACTGAATTTCTTGCCCTTAGAGATTTTCATTCCTCTTCCAGACCTTTCTAGGGTAGTAAGAACATTGATACCAATAACTTTTATCATATATTAGGATGAAAACTTGTAACCATTTCATGGAAGCTTTTCAATGACTGCAGAATTGCGAAGTTAGTTTTGTCTCTTACTGTCTGATGTACTCATTGTTTGCTGTTGAAGTTCTTAAAAAATGTTTGTGTTTACTTTTCTGCACATGCTTCAGCTCCCTGGAAGCTTCTCTCCACATCAGAGCAGACAACCCCAGAGTGAGAAGGTCCATGAATGGAGCAGATGGGCCGAAGTTTACTATGGAGCAGCACCTTCCCTCTTAGAAGGTAGACACTGCTGTCTCAGAACACGCACTCCTGTGCTAGGTAAGTACGATAAGTGGAGTTTTCTAGTTGGTATGTCTGCAAAGACCTCTAAGGGGAAAGAGACTAGATAAAGACAGAGGCTTTGAGTCCTGCAAAAGTGACATCCTGGAGAGAGAAGAAGCAGGAAAAGCAGAGACCTGATTTCAAGAAGCAGAGTGTTGGGGTGAATGCATGGCCGGGTAAGAGAGTTCCATGTGTCTGGAAACCTTACAAGAATGGATGTGTCATCATTAGTTCTGAATCTTCCACATAACGTGTGTTCCAAATCTTCTGGAAGCCAATCAATGAAATTTGGAAAGACTTTTATCAGAAGTAAAGTTTTAAAATGCAGTGTCACCATGTTTCTAAAACAGCGTGAAGAATATTTATGTTTACTAACAGCCAACATGGAAACGGGAACATAGCAGAGACATCTCCACCAAAATCAGCAGGGTGATGAGAATGCTCCCCAACTTTTGCCACTTAATATCTCTCCATACACTAAGGCATGGAGGCAGATGCAAAACTCATCACTGCTGAAGTATAGACAAAATTAACATTATGTTAAAATTGTATAATTGCCTTCCGAAAATGCTTAAGAGCATCAACAGAAATATTATTGGCATTAATAAGAGAGTTCAGGAAGGTGGCCAGGCAACAGGAATGCTTATGTGCTATCACTTTCTTGTGTGTCAGATGGGAAAGTATTTAATAAGGAAGATCTCATTTTAACTGTCTAAAATATAAAATACCTAGGGATAAGCTGAATAAGAAATAGATCGGACACTTATTAAAAACCACAAAACAGTACTGAAAATCGTTAAAGATGACTCAAGTTAATGGAAAACCATACCACGTCCATGCAAGTGTGAGACAGTGCTGCATGCAGTCTGAGACGAAGAGCCCTATCGTTACTCCAGTTTCCTGGATCTAACTGAGCTGTAGTGTAATCTTGGTCAAGCAACCAGATGTCTCTGGGTCCCCATTTTTTTCCATCTCTAAAGTATAGATGATAGTTTCACTGCATCTTAGGATTATTGTGGGTTAATATGAGCAAAGTGCTTAGACCAGTGCCTGCCACACAGGCTCACTGAGATGGGATATCATTGTATACTAATTCCTAGAAGTTATGTTTTTAGCTTGTGGGAATGTCAAGCAAAATTCTAGAAGGAATTTTTGGGAAAAATTTATAAAGTTTATCTGGTAATTCATAAGTTGCAAAGAATGGTCAAGAAACTTGAGTTATAGGGGGATTTCTGTGTCTACTTACTTATGCGCATTTCAAGGTCTTAATAATGATAAAATTGTGACTTTAACACACTAACTGAAAGACAACCAATGAACTAGAGTAAGCTTATGAAAATAACAAGTTGGATACAGGAATGTATTTTATTATTTGGCATTCCACAGGAATTGATAAATATTGATAAATTTTTGATAAATATTGATATTGATATTTGATAAATATTGATAAATAAAAATTGATAAATATTCCTTACCAATGAATATTTGATAAATATTCAGAGACAATTCATGCATTACCACAAAAATAGGTTATTACTCTGTAGAAGTATCTCTCAAAGTGTGTCCCACAGGAATCAAAATTCCCTGGAGCAGTTCTTAAAATGTAAGACCCCAAGGTCTCCCTGGGAGAGTGGGACAGAGTACCTGGAATTGCCATTTAAATATGGGGATTGATGTCATCTGCCATACATCAAAAGACATTCCAGATGAATGAAAGGGATAGTGTCAGAAGACAGCATGAGAGAATATTTACATTGTCTTCCATATAGTTTGCAGTTTAGTGAAAAAAAAAATAAGAAATGCATGATAGGAAAAGGGGCAAAGGACATGAATAATCAAACCATAAAAAAGTGAAAAAAAAAAAAGCCAATAAGTGCATGGGAAAATTCTAACCTTCACTAACATTTCAAAAATATACATTAAAGCAATGTATCCTCTTTTGTATTTCATGAGGAAAAGTACTTTTAAAATGATAAGATCCAGGGATAATGAGGGTCAGTGAAAGGGGCACTTTGACATGCAGGTGATGATTAGGTCCGTTGAAATAATTTTCAGAAATGTTTTCTTTTGACAACCTGAAAAGCACCGGGAATGGAGAGCCAAGCATTTCATCTTCTGTGAACTTAGCCTGAGGAAGAATCTGAGATTCATGTGCAGACTTATGTATGCAGGGATTGCTGTAGCATTATTTTAGCAGAAAAAATTGGAAACAGCCCAAATGTCCAACAATATGGTAACAGTTAACGAAATTACCACCCATTCATATGATGAATACTCTGTGGTCATTAGAAATCATGTTTTTGAAGAATCCTGTCATTAAATGACATGAGAAAATGTTCCCAAAGTGAAAACACCAGGATGTAAGCTATTTATAGCATGATTTTTTTAAATTAAAAATCACCAGAGACAAGGGAAAAAGATGGAAGAAGGGCATGAAGGGACGCCAGCACGTTAACATTTCCTATGTGTGGTGGTTGGCTTTGAGCAATTTTTATGTTCTTTATGCATTTTAGATTTTCCAACTTTGTATCATGTGATGACAAAAATGTTAGTGAAAAGATAATAAGATAGATGAGACTGGCCAAGAGATGTTGATGTCATTTGACTAAGAAATGGTAATAATAGAAAGGTTATGGTCTTGGGTTTCATAGAAAAATCATTCTCCAAGGCAAGACAGATCCATCAGAGTCTGATTGGAAGAGCAGGAGGAATGGAGATGGACAGGTAGGCTGGAGGCAGAGTGCTGGGGGGCTTGCAGGCCCAGAGCTCCTCAGAGAGGTTGAAAACCCTTCTGAGATACCTGGACTGGGCACAAAGGAGACCTGCATAGCAGGCACCTGCTGCGTTACTATAGCTGCCTATGCACAAGGTCTTTCTACAGAGGTGTGCATGTGGGACAGAGCTTTAAAAGGAAAGGACCTTTAGTATCAAGACACTGCTCCCAGGAAGCCCTGACACTGATAGAATTTCTAGGCTGAGCCTTTTCTCCTCTTACTTATCCATCTCAGCTCCATCTCCTTCCAGGATTCTGGGTGCTCGCTGGCACCCACAATAGCTAGCTGATGTAGAATCCTGTGTTTCCCCAGCGGCATAGTGCTCAAGGTCTGGGAGAACACATCTCTCTTGGCCACACCAAATGTACAATAGCATCTACCTGGGGACACCAAGATGTCCAAGGAAGGCTGGTTTCAGACAGGTGTGGAAAAGCAGCTGATGACTTGTGGTTGTTGGAGTGCTTATAGACTGGGTGTGATCTCTTCCACTGTTCCAACAAGGGGGAACCCTATGACCCTGGGCTTGACCCAGGTTCCTTCACATTAGCTTTCTGAGCCTCAGGATCCCCTTCTGGCCGGCACTGTGGCTCACTGGGCTAATCCTCCACCTAGCGGCGCCGGCACACCGGGTTCTAGTGCCGGTCGGGGTGCCGGATTCTTTCCTGGTTGCCCCTCTTCCAGGCCAGCTCTCTGCTGTGGCCCGGGAAGGCAGTGGAGGATGGCCCAAGTCCTTGGGCCCTGCACCCCATGGGAGACCAGGAAAAGCACCTGGCTCCTGCCTTCGGATCAGTGCGGTGCGCCCGCCGCGGTGCGCCAGCCGTGGCGGCCATTGGAGGGTGAACCAATGGCAAAAGGAAGACCTTTATCTCTGTCTCTCTCTCTCACTATCCACTCTGCCTGTCAAAAAAAAAAAAAAAGGATTCCCCTCCTTCTGCAAACAGCTTTTCTGTGGATAACAAGCACCTTCAAGTGCCATGTGAAGCATGTACTTGAGCGTTCATCCCAGCAGCCACAGAGGAGGAGTCATGGTTCTAGTTGTGAGGGCCCTTCTCGTCCCACCAGCACCACCCCTGCCCCGCCCCTTGTGGGAGGCTGGCTGATAGTAGTGTGTGTACACAAGTTTTTGCCACTGTTATTGCTGATGCAGCCATGGCAATGCCCAACCTGGCACCCCATGAGGAGAAAGCTAGGCTACAGCACCCCCTTCAGCAGAACTTCTCACTCTGGGGCTTCTGTGAGAAAGGGCCCTGGGCTACCAGGGCATCTGTGAGCATGGACAGTAAGTACAAGGGAGCTGGGAGCAGGATGGTCATTTCCTGAGGTGAGCACAGAGCCTACCATTGTGTTTTTTTTGTTTTTTGTTTTTTGTCTTCTACTTTCCGTGGTTGCAAATTCTTGTTGGCTGGGCCTTCAGGAACTGCTGGTCATGGTCCATGAGTCATCTTGAGAGCCCAGACACCGGGTGCTGTAACCACAGGGTCAGCTGCTGATGGAGAGAAGCAGAGTGCTGCTATTGGGGTCCCCAGCATCAAGAGGCAGGCAGAGCCAAGTGGGGCTACCCTGAGTGGGCCAGGCAGGAGTGGGAGATAACACGATTTTAGGTTATATACAAACTTGTAGAAAGGTCCATAGGTTTGGTTTAGTGGATATTAGGAAAAACAAAATGTTTTCCATGAGTTAATCCAAGTTTAAATAAAAGTCATTTTAATATTAATATGAAGAAAAAACATAAATAGCACAGATGGTAAGTAGATGATGGCAGAAACTGTGACAATGGTGTGTGAGTGACCCTTTGGGACTGTTTTGGGGGAACTGGAGTTCTGTGCCAGCCTTTTGTAAATTGAATGTCCCATCTTGATCTGTTTTTATGGGTTTTCTTAAATGAGTTGAGGCAAGGCAAGGGACCCTTGACATCAGTCCAAACCTGGAGGAGGCTTTACCAACGTGTTCTAGCATGGTGCTTGTTTGAAGCTTGTTGGAGTCTGTAGACACATGGAAAAGACAGTGTGTGTTTTTGGCTGGTATGGCTGGTTGGCATTTCTTTGGCTGGATCAGATCAGATGGTCTCAGATATGCCTGTGGCCAAAGTCAGATGTGTGAGACCGGATTTTCCATCCCCGTCAGTTGACGGAGCGTTGCTGATATGATCAAGTGGCTCGGGTTCTTGTGTGAGCTGATTTGTGGAACTCAGGTGTGCTTGGCCATAGGTGGGTGACATATTGT